ACCTCGTGCGTTCCACTGCATTATAGCAGAGGTGCGCACACATTCTTCGAAGGAATTCGCTATATTGTTTATGGAAGGGCGAGCAGTAGCGGTTCCAGCACGTTGAGGATCTGCACTGCTGTTTTCGCACCTGGCTTGTGTTGCTTGTTGAGAATGGCACGAACAGATTTTTGTAGATGCTTCAGCATAGTTTGGTTCTTCTCAGTGTCTTGCCTATCATTTTTCACCCTCTTCGAAGTTGGAGCCCATGATGTGGTCTTTTTTATTGCTGCGGTCGGTAGCGAAGGCCACTCAGTATCTGAAGCATCAGCGTGCAACGCGGGCGTTGGTCCACTGTCTGCATCCCTGGGACGTGGTGCGTACAACTTGGGTGTAGCGGCCTGATAATGCGCACGCGTATGTTCATCTGTTGCTGATGGTGATGCATCACTCCTATGTCCACTATGCTTTCGCTGGTGCCTACGTTTAGGACGACGTCTGTGTCGGCGGATGGACGTGACAGCCTCTCTGTGTGTCGAGTTGTCTCTGACCATCTTCCGCGGAACGCGAATTTCTTTTTTGATCTTCGGGCACTCCTTCGACGTTGCTTCATGCGCACCAGAGCAGTTTGGGCATTTCAATGGAACAGCAGTATCGCAGTTTTTCACCTTATGAGATCCGCCGCGCCGCTTGCAAGTTGTCTCACTTTTGCACATTGCAGCACTGGTGACACTGCAAATGCCGTGGCACGTAAGGGCGCACGGAATGTCTCACGTATCCAACCTTTACGCTAGGGGGCAGAGTCTCAGAATCAAATAACAGTTTGATGCAGCGAGACTGCCCGAAGCGGCGTATGGTCACGATTCTGACTGTCGACGTCACAAGATTCTGGAGGTCAGTGTCTGTGATATCAGCGTCGACGTCATTTATCACGCCAGTCGTTGATGTACAAAACGAACACGAGGTGCCTGTGTGCCTTGTGTCTTCGCCAGCCTTAACAACTATCAAACAAGATACACCGACATTGGCCACCCTCGTATATATATATATATATATATATATATATATATATATATATATATATATATATATATATATATATATATATATATATATAATCGGCTTGAGCGGAGAAACGTACGAAAACATTTATTACCCCTACGTTTCGGCCGGGGTCCGGCCTTCGTCAGGGACCCCGGCCGAAACGTAGGAGTAATAAAAGTTTTCGTACGTTTGTCCGATCAAGCAGATTTCTATTTATCACTGGTTCACAGAAGACACTCACTTGATATATATATATATATATATATATATATATATATATATATATATATTTATATTTATATATATATATATATATATATATATATTGTCACGGGGTCAAGACGTGGCCGAAGACAGGAGACTTCTTGTTGGGATTTAACTGTTTATTTGGGCGAACCTGTGCCCGGTAAACAGAAAGTCCAATTACAGCAGCAGTCTCGCACAGATAGCAGTCTCAGACTGATAGCGGCGAACGGAGCGTCGGCCTTCGATCAACTACTGACAAGCGGCGAAGCGCGTCGGCATTTATACCCTTGCCGTCGAATGTTCTAGCGTTATCGCTGGCGGTGGCGTAGGTTCCAGAACAATCCGTACCGTTCGCAGAGTGGGCGTGACCTTATCGAATCGATCTACTTCAGTCCGGAACCTTCTCGAAACCTGCAGGCGTGGTTTGCGCCGAGAATCGTGTGGTGTTTCGGAACGATAACAAAAACTTGTGAAATGGAACGTGGCATTGCCCCCCTCTGAAAAAAAGGCATCGTCCCGATGCTTTAACTAAAGATGAAGGTACAATAATAATTCAAGAAAGTACAATGAATAAATTACAATACAACAATAATACAAAAAAAACACTGTTTCAGTTTGTTAACGTGCATGAAACGGCTTGAGGCGCGCGACATGGACGACTTCAGGTCGCGATCGGCGTCGTTGAGAGTTCGTGATGCCGTCGGGGACAACCTCGTAATCAAGTGGGCCGAGACGTCGAACCACCTTGTACGGTCCGAAGTACCGTCGCAGAAGCTTTTCATTTAGTCCACGTCGGCGTATCGGCGTCCACACCCAAACACGTTCACCGGGCTGGTATTCCACGAAGCGTCGTCGAAGGTTGTAACGGTGGCTGTCGGTCGTTTTGAATGCTATTTTGCTCTGCGAATCCGCGTTTGGGGTTTTAATTGTGTATGGGGTGGCCCTACTATATGTCGGCTTTGTTGTCGAAATGCGGGAAGGGTTTCCAAACTGCGAGAAAGGATGTTTGAAGTGATTGCTATTTTGTACTGGGAACCGCGTTTGTGGATGTCGGGCTTTGTTGCCAAAATCGGGGAAGGGTTGCCAAAAGGCGAGAAAGGGCGTTTGAAGTGATTGCATTTTGTTCTGGGAATCCACGTTCGGGGCTTTTAGTTGTGCATGCGGTGACCCTTCGACAAGTCGGGCTTACAACTATTGTTCGGTTATTCAGAGAAATAGAAATAGACGACAGTGGTTCACTGAAACACGCAAAGATATTTGTAGTTGTCCAGTCCTCGTCGCCGCCACAGTGCCGCGAAATCTTGAACTGTTATGATTACAATTATAAACTTATATATACACACATACACCCACATACATATGCGCATATACATAAGTACATATACACATATAAATGCATATGTATATATTATAGTGCTTTGATTGCTGCAAGTGTACCCGGACTTTCATTTATGCCTTTTTCGAGGGTGTTAAATCGGTGTATGAGGTATGATTCACGTTGTTCACGTTCCCGGTTTGATTTAAATCCTGTTTCTAAAAGTGTGACTGACAAATTGTCAGTCACACTTTTAGAAACAGGATTTAAATCAAACCGGGAACGTGAACAACGTGAATCATACCTCATACACCGATTTAACACCCTCGAAAAAGGCATAAATGAAAGTCCGGGTACACTTGCAGCAATCAAAGCACTATAATATATACATATGCATTTATATGTGTATATGTACTTATGTATATGCGCATATGTATGTGGGTGTATGTGTGTATATATAAGTTTATAATTGTAATCATAACAGTTCAAGATTTCGCGGCACTGTGGCGGCGACGAGGACTGGACAACTACAAATATCTTTGCGTGTTTCAGTGAACCACTGTCGTCTATTTCTATTTCTCTGAATAACCGAACAATAGTTGTAAGCCCGACTTGTCGAAGGGTCACCGCATGCACAACTAAAAGCCCCGAACGTGGATTCCCAGAACAAAATGCAATCACTTCAAACGCCCTTTCTCGCCTTTTGGCAACCCTTCCCCGATTTTGGCAACAAAGCCCGACATCCACAAACGCGGTTTCCCAGTACAAAATAGCAATCACTTCAAACATCCTTTCTCGCAGTTTGGAAACCCTTCCCGCATTTCGACAACAAAGCCCGACATATAGTAGGGCCACCCCATACACAATTAAAACCCCCAAACGCGGATTCGCAGAGCAAAAACATTCAAACGACGACGCGCTAAGAACATTCTCCCGTGCGACTTCTGATCCCGGAACGCTGTCCCGACGCCGTTAGTGCGTCTTTAAAAGGAAACTTATAAAAAAAGCATTTTTGTCGCGCCGCACGCTTACCTTGCCGGGCCCGTTTACACTTGGGCCGCACCACTGCACGGGGCGCATACATAAAATACACATGCACGCACTCGCCAAGCACAGGGAACGGAGTCCGGAATCCTTTCCTCTCTCGTTTTTCAAACTCTTCTTCTTCGATTTTTTTCGTTCTTGCCCTCTATTTTAACAGAAATAATTAAAGTGAGCCGCAACAGATGTACCAGACTGATAGCGGCGAACTTGGCGCGCTTCGAATATACAAGACGGCGAGTGGTACGCGTCTCTTGGAGTCCCTTGCGTGAATGTTCTAGGTATAGTATATTAGGTCGAAAAATCGTACGGTTGAGGGCGAACTTACGAAACATATTACTCAGTCGGGCCTTCCGCCGGCAGGGCCGTGGTTGCGGAGAATAGTGTGGTGTTCCGATAACAGAAACTTTAAATGGACGAGACAATATATATATATATATATAATATATATATATATATAATTGCAGGGAATAAATTCCTGGACGCCGGTAAATAGTATGAATAAAAAGAAAACACACGTCGAAAAACGGAAAGGTTTCTTTACGTTTCGGCCGTGGGACCGGCCTTCGTCAGAATAACAAGAATAACCGTCAGAATAACCGTCAGAAGGCTATTCTGACGAAGGCCGGTCCCACGGCCGAAACGTAAAGAAACCTTTCCGTATTTCGACGTGTGTCTTCTTTTTATTCATATATATATATATATATATATATATATATATATATATATATATATAGTTGACACTGCCTAGAGATTCGCAAACGATCATTACAAAAGAGCGGGACAAAACAGTAACCCATTAAGGCCGCTGTGAATGCGTGTGCATCAGCTGAAGCCGGCTCCGGGCGCCCGGGCCGGCGAGACATTGGCGGCGCCTCTCTCGTATCTTTTTCTTCCTCCGTGCATGCGTCCGCTTTTACACGTCTATAGGCAGTACTCCCACGCCGCAAGGCTGTCACGGGTATTTTTTTCCCAAGAATCCCTACAAATAGAATTTTAGTTGGTATATACGAGCGCAGCGCCGATAGTTCGTTTGTTAAACGTCATATGACTGAGATTGCATGGCGAGAGCCTCAAACTCGTCCGAGCCCGTGGGACGCAGTCTCACAGTTTTGTTCCGCAAAGGCCGACGCAGTGAATAAGGTATACGTAAGAAAGGCCAACCGTTGCTATTTGAAAAAAAACTGGATGGCTGTTAGCACTGTGCTTTCGTCTTCTTTCAATTATCCAGCGGCATAAAACAGCGACTGGAAAACAGTGCATTTTTAAAACTTTGGTAATAGATCTATTACTCAGTATGCCTCTAGCAGGGTTTCTATAATGCGAAAGCCTTAACCATCTCGATGGGTGCTCCTTTGGCGAAACGTAGCAGGCAATGGAGTGGCACGAAAAATTCATGAGCGACGTTGCTGATGACTTCGTCACGCGGCATCGGTGCTTCCTCAATGATGGGCCGACCAGGGAAACAGTGAGGTGCCCAGGAACACGTGAGGTGCAGAACACTTTAAAGATGGCGAAAAAAGTGTTACGAAAAATATTGTCACCACCATTTCATTTTCGTCACACGACAGCTCCCTTTGTTTGGCGAGAAGTTTGTCCAAGATTTAAAGCACTACGATGTGCACTACAGTCTCCACCATCAAGTTTTACAGGGTGTGTTAATGCGCTCCCATCCGCAGGGTACCGTGCTGAGCCTTGCGTGCGCCCAGTGCCTGGTTGGTGTGCTAGCCAGCGACAGCAACATCGTGGCCCGCATCTCGTGCGCCCTTTTCGGCATGCTTGGCCTCCGGTACTTGGGAATGGGCTTTGTTGCCGCCTCTTTACTTGCCGGAAGCCTACTGCCGGCCTCGCATCCGGTGCTGCTGCTCGCCGTGCGCCTCGTCGAACGTGTCGTCGGTGACCTCGAGGCTGACGCACTAGACGCTCAGCGAAGGGGTGACGGCTGGTTTGACTACTCACACGCTGCACCGAGGTATGGACCCCCAAGCCTTCCCCTAACTGGACCATACTGTTGATCTCCTTTACGCAAAGAATAAACCTTTGTTTGGGCCGGTAATGACGGGAACGCAAGAAAGGCAGACATGATACAGAGGTGCCTGTGTGCCTTGTGTCTTCGCCAGCCATAACAACTATCAAACAAGATGCACTGACGTTTCCCACCCTCGTAAAACAATGAAGCTCTATGCCACTCTTTAGGCGCTACACAACGAGAAGTCAGTTCTTTGTCATCATGGTGCGACATCACTTGCTAGAGGCCAGAGTGGTGCCAGAAGGGTGGTGGAGGGGAGTTCAGCGCTTTTAGGGGCCGCTGAGGAAACCTTTTCTTTTTTGTATGACACGTTTTGCACTTGTGCCAATGAAGGCACCGCTCTTTTTAGCATTATCAGCGTACGAAAGGAGCATTCCTTGATTCATTCCACTTCGCTGTGTGTACTGGAGCCAATAAAGTTCAGTGTGATGTTCACGTGGAGATGCCTTGCCGCTTTTAACACGACAGTGTTTAATCCTGGGGATCACCATGGATCTGCTAACGTATTTCCGTCGCGGATATGACGCTAACCAATATATACCAAAAAATTGCCAAGATTAAACCACAAGGAAAAACGTTGTGTAGCGTGGCGTTGAACTAGCCTCATCTCGCTCCGCAGCGTGCATGCGGTGCATACCACTAGGCCACAGAGGATACATTGATGCACTTGGTAGCGGCGAGCAATTCATATACACCATGTACCGTTGACGGTCCTAGGAGTTCGGTAACGTCAACGTGTTTTCGTCATCGGTAGCCAAATCGCACGAGGGGCGCATGTTGGGCGCCCACGCTCTAAACAATTTCGCCCCGCTCCGCCCCACGCGTTGCGACAGCAAATGGGTTGCAGCGTTTTAGGGAGCTTTGGGCGTGGCCTCTAACTTGCATCTGAAATATACATCGCGAAACTTCCTACAAAAGTTGGTTTTAGGAAGCTGTGCAAAGCAAGATGGCGGTGCCTGTTGAAGCAAGCCACCCACTTCGAATATTTCTATACCCGTTGGCTTGCATTAGTAAACTCATTCATAACCAATTAATGCTCCTATTTGATTTAGATCTGAATAATGAGGCTTTGCTAGCTGTATAATGCCGTTAAAGTAGCTCCGTTTTCGAAATACACAATCTATTTGTGGCGCACATGGCTTTCCCGGGATAAGCTGAATCTTAAAAGGTAACTGTGGTGTTTTTAGTAGTAGTAGTAGTAGTAGTAGTAGTAGTAGTAGTAGTAGTAGTATTTTTATTTACAGTAAGCCGGATACAGAGCTCACTGCAGGGGCAAAGGGCTAAAGGCGAACAGCCTGACAAAGGCCCTTGTCCCTCCGCAGTCCGTGACAGTGCAAAGCTTAAACAATATATATATTCAATACATTGGTTTCAAGGAACCTGAAATTGTAAGCACAAAATTCAAACATAAATAGCATAAGAAGTTTATATAACACATTTTAAGAATTAGAGGTCACTCTCGTTATAATTCACAACTAAACAATATCAATGAAACAACTCAAAAACAGACACAAAATGCATGCGGATACAATGAATTCCGCTGTATACACTCGTATATATGACATAAAAGTTTATGAACAATTTAAGCATTTGCAGAGACATGAGACTCCATTACGTAGTTTTGATAGTGTAGACCGGTGGTTATGAATAAGTTCTTTATTTGTTTCTTGAAAGTCTCACTACTAGCCCTAAAGTTCAATTGATCTGCAAGGGTATTTAAAACCTGAGGTACCTGGTAAGCAATACTTTGTTTTCCATACTTGGTTCTTGTTCTGGGAGCTCGTTTCTTTTGTTCTCGCATTTAATATTTAGAGGTCTTCAACAGAGCGCACCGGAAGTTTTTTTGCTTATTTTGCGAGCTTTTAAAACTCCCTTAATATTACGTGGCTCGAGAGACTGTGAAAAAAGTCCGCCCGTCCGTCCGTCCGTCCGTCGTCTGTCTGTCTGTCTGTCTGTCTGTCTGTCTGTCTGTCTGTCTGTCTGTCTGTCTGTCTGTCTGTCTGTCTGTCTGTCTGTCTGTCTGTCTGTCTGTCTGTCTGTCACAGACAGACGGACGCTTCGCCCCATTCATCATTATGCAGTGCATGGATATGGTGTGAATTTCTTATTGGAAAAGCACCATCTGTCTTCTTCAATCGTCAACTATATGAAAACCAACATCTGCTAGAGTTTCTTCAGTCGCCCACATAAAAGATCACCATCTAGAAATTGCACCTGTTGCGAACGGTGATCTTTTTTTTCTCACTGTCTTTGAATCATTATACCGCGAGCCACAGTTTGTATGGAAAGAAGAGGAAATAATCACATGGTACTGGGTAAGGACTGTAAGGCGGGCAATCAGTGTTCCCATGCAAAAGCTTGAATCTTCCCATTGGCTCTGACTGTGGCGCAAGGATGCGCGTTGTCATGAAGGAGGACGATTCCGGATGAGAATTTGCGACGTCATCAATGTTTATCGTACTTTTTACTCTAGCGAGCGTTTCGCAGTATATGTGAACTGTAACTGTGGTCCACGCTTCGCAAAATCAAACACTGAAGGTATTAGATACAACTAAACACAACTCAGTTTGACGTGCAAATATTTCAAGAGTAGGAAATGGCCCTTACTTTTAAGGGGCCCAGAAGCGCTTTTTCAAGTAACCATTGGATGAATTGAGTGGAACAACTTATTGCCTCACGATTTATACGCTGCGAAATTTTTTTTTTAGAATTCGTCCAGTACGAGCGGAGTTTCAAAGATTTGTCACGCGCTGCAATCGCAATCTTTTTTTTTCTCTCGTCCCGACGAGAGCGCTGGAAGCTAAGCAGGGAGGAATGACAGAGCTACAGAGAAACTTCACGCAAGCACCATGACCTTGAGCATTTTTTTCTTTCTTTTTTTTATTTGAGCGTGCGACTTTCTCACTGTGATCGTGCGCGCAATGTGCGCGCACGCGTGGACAAGAAGCGGCCTTCCGCGGCAATCTCTGTAACGAGGGAGCGCACCATGTTCAAATCAGCCAATGACTGGTAGATGGGCTTGCTACATGTTATTTTTGGGTATATTACGTGATTTGTCGAGTGGAGAGAAAGTTGCCCCGCCGCGGTGGTTTAGTGGCTAAGGTACTCGGCTGCTGACCCGCAGGTCGCGGGTTCGAATTCCGGCTGCGGCGGCTGCATTTCCGATGGAGGCGGAAATGTTGTAGGCACGTGTGCTCAGATTTGGGTGCACGTTAAAGAACCCCAGGTGGTCGAAATTTCCGGAGCCCTCCACTACGGCGTCTCTCATAATCATATGGTGGTTTTGGGACGTTAAACTCCACATATCAATCAATCGAGTGGAGAGAAAGCAATATTCAGGTGAATTTGATAATTTATTGTGAATGCAAGGCCGCGTGCAGCACTACATTATTTGGCTCGCGTGTTGTCGCGATTCGCTACTACCGATCGGCAGCTTTTTCTGACCATGCTCAAAAAGTGTTGCAGGGCCCCTTTAGGAATAACCATCGTGGGAAGTTTTGTTTTACAGGTTTGATTCAAGCGTTTACTGACTGCCTATTTTCCCGACAGAGTGACTGTGAGCGCCAGACCTTCTTAGCTGTCTAGTGTTGCAAGTGTTCCATATGTCCCTACTGTATGTGCAAATGTAATGTGCAGTGTAGGGCGATTCCTGTCCACTTGTGCATAATTCTTTTTTTTTTTCACACATGAGCGCTCTTGGGAGCACCTACAGGCATTCTTTACCTCGTGTGTCAGCTGATCAACATTGGGCGATCAAGGGCAAGGGTAGCTCATGCTATGAATTCGTCATCCGTAACAACTTTCAAAAGAATGTTCACTAGCTGTAATGTGTGACAGAGGCCAAGGATTTCATCATTCGCCAACTGTTACTCAATTGGAGTGCCTATCACTGCAAGCTTTTTACCTCTTTGAAACGTAAACTAAGTTACCATCTCCACATGATCCTGTAACTAGTATTCTCCCTGGATATACGTGCTTAGCACAACTGGAAGCTGATTCATTTGGTTAGAATGGGTCGTAAAAATATTAGAAGCGCAGGCACAAACAGAGAGGTATTGTCACGGCGTCGTGACGTTGACGAAGGGAGCAGACTTCAAGTTGAAAATGTAACTGTTTATTCGAGCCGAACTTGTGGCCAAGCAAAATGAAAGTCAGATAACAGCGAGACACTGGCTCTGATAGCGGCGAACAGAGCGTTGGCCGTCGATTAACTGACAAGCGGCGAAGCGCGTCGGCATTTATACCCTTACCATCAAATATTCTAGCGTCATCGCTAGCGACGACGTAGTTTCTAGAAAAATCTGTAATGTGCACAAAGTGGGCGTAATCTTTACAAAACGATCTAATACAGCCTCGAAGCTTCTCGAACATCGTAGGTGCGGTTTGCACTAAGCGTAGTGTAACTGGGCGATAACAAAGCTTGTGACAGGAACGTGGCAATATGAAACACAGCATCCAGAGCAATGCTGTATGCAGAGATCGCTTGCACAACAGCATGCGACCTTTTTTAATTCAACGCCATGAGCCTCTGCAGCACTCGAAAACTGCGGATGGTATCGCAGGAGTACAAAGGCGAAGCTACTGTTCAGGGTGTTCTTCTACTTTAGAAAAACATGAGATATAGTGAAATTCTTGTGCAATCTGTATAAAATGAGAGAGTGAAACTGCTTTTTACTCTACCTATCTTCGAGAGAGTGAAATGTCCATATTCTCCTGACTTTCGGGTTGGATTTTGGTCTACAAAGTTTCCTGAAACTTTCACAACTGGGTGTGTAGATGACGATGATAAAAAGTGAAGCTTATTATTTCCGGGATGCCTGTGCCTTTGTTATGGCGTGATGTCGAACTAATATGACGCTGAAACTTAATCAAAGCGTTAAGTAGAGGGCCTGAAGCAACACAGAGCAATCCTACTGAAGAAAACTGTGACAAATTCTGGAATA